TTAGGTTGGGTACTTGCCCCCCCTTAGTAACAGTTGGATAGCAAATATAATATGGTTATATGTAGCCCTCAAATTGGACCCCTAATATAGACTGTTACTGGGTGGGCAGTACCCAACGTTTAGGGTTCAGGGTTCAAGGCCCACAACCTAGTGTGTAGCGAGTCTCTGCCAGGACTACTGTCCTTCATGAGGCAGCTATATTTGGATTCCAACTTGGTTTCGGAGGATAATTTTGAAGTTCAATGAAAGCAGCTGCTGGTTTTTGATTGCAGTGACTTGTGCCCCGAATAGCCAGCCAAGCTGGAATTCCTTGTGAACAACTTCTGCTACCGTCAGCTGTTTGCAGTAGGCAGTCCCCCTCTGATCTGTGAGTGCATCCATGAGAGCATTGATTTTGGTGGATCTGCCGGAAACCTCCGACATGATCCTTAGCAAAACTGGCGGGCTGTTGAATATATCCCTAAATTTAGTATGCAAGAGCCCAAGAAGCAAGAATCAAGACCTTGTTTATGAAATCCCAATACCCCAAAATATCCTGAACATTGGACCCTAGATAATTTTGTGTTATCCCAAACTCTAGATTTCCCAGCCGTACTGAGGAACCTGAAGAAGGACAAGACAACTCTCGAAAGATGCGAGGCGCTTCAACCTTCAAGAGACTTTAGTAGGAACCCCGAGACAGGGAACCCCAAGAGTTGAGTAGGAATGTAACAGGAATCTACCTATACCAGGAGCTTAATGTTCCGACTATATTCCCCTAAGCCCTAAACCCCAAACCCTAAACCCCATATATTATGTTCCTACTATATGCTTGGTATTCCCCATCTTGGGGTTCCCATTAAAGTCCTTTGAAGCCTGAAAGCCGGCGCTGGGCAGTGAGTGCAGCATGCGCGACGGTCGCCGCTTAGAGTTAACCTTAGGGTCTAGGTTTCAGAATTTTGGGGTTTGGGATTTAAGGGTTGTATTGGGGTTGTACTGGGATAATGGAAAATAAATGGAAACTACTATTTAGAGTTTAGGGTTCAGGGTTTAGGTTTTAGGGCTTGAGGTCTAGGTTTGAGGGTGTAGGGTTGAGAGTTTTTGAGGCTTAAGGTTTCGGTTTGAGGTTTAAAGTGCAGGGTAGATGTTCAAGTACCTAATAATGCAATACTCATATTTGAGATATTGGTCAGGGTAGCTATGGTACAGGTTTTGTGGAAGTATGTGAATATTGAGTACTTGGACCCTAGACCCTACACCTTGTATGTTTTCATAAGGACATGTCTATCACAATGTCTGCCCCTAAGCCCTAAACCTCAAACTAGCGTGCCCCAGGGAAGGAACGGATCTAATGATGATTTGTTACATGCCCTTAGTCATTCTACACCTGCCTTGCCCTGAGGATCCAGATATCCCAATCTGGGAAATATTTGCTGGCTCTAGGGCCCTATGTTTTTCTTTTAGACTTAGATGCCCATGGCGTATCTCTCAGAGCAGAAACTTAAAGTCCCAAACCTCTGGGCAAGTCAAAGCTTATGACAGCCTTACCCGACCTAGCCATCAATAGGTTTAGGGTTTAGGGACTTGGAGTTTTGGGATTTAGGGTTTATCAATGTTTAAATCGTACCAAAATGTCCTAATTTCAGGTTTTGCTAGTATTATGATTGAGCCAGTTCTTGTTCCGGAGCCCTACCCAGAGCTTTCGATGTAGCTTTGGGTAGTAAATGTGGGGCTGCCTTAAAGCCAGGCTCTTAGCACTTTGACTTCTAGGAGCTTGCTGTTTTTTTGCTGTATAAAAGGGAGGCAAAAAGTTTGACTAGCTGAATATCCTAAGTCCTGAACCTTAAACTTAAATCCTAGGCCTTAGCTGCTTTTAGAATTCCTAACCCAAATACCACAGCAGGACGAGAAGTCAAAAAAGGAAGTATTGTTCGGATTCCTAGAACCTGAACTGCATTTAGGTTGTAGGGTTGAGCTTAAGGTTTTGGGTTCAAGGTGTAGGGTTTAGTGCTTTGGTGTAGGGTTCAGGAAATCGTACTTCCACCTTTCATATCCCGATATACCCCTACATAATCCATGACCGATACCCCTTGCAGGAGCTCCATAGGAGGTTTTGGGTATAGTCCCCCTGCAGTAGATAGAATATGGCTTTAGGTATATTATAATAAGGTCCTCATATTCCCCATATTCTATCTACTTAGTACTTAAGCGGGACCCTAAACCCTATGCCCTAAACCTTAAAGCCTATTCCCTAAACCCTAAACTCTATATTCTATCTACTTAAGGAGGACCATAAACCCTAAACCATGCGGAAAGATCCTTTAAGCTGCCTGTGGAGCCTATGTCTCGCATGCAAAAGGCCTTGGCCAAGGGGCTTGCGGATTCAGCAGGATAGGGGATTTAGGGTTTAGGGTTGAGGTTTACCGTTTAGGATTTAGGGAGGGGATTTAGGCAGGGTTCAGGGATTTAGGAGGGTAGGCAGTTTAAAGGTATAGGGTCTTGCGTCTCGGGGTGAGGGGCTTGGGGTGGTCTGGTTCAAGGTCTGGTGTTTAGGCATTTAGGGTTTAGGGTTCAGGGCTTGGTGTTTCTGAGTATGGGGTTTAGTTTAGGGCGTAGGGTTTAAGCATTTGAATTTTTGAGATTTGGGGATTTAGGGAAAGGGCCTTTGTTTTATTCTCAGCGGTTCAAGGTGCCTAGGGGTTATCAGCACATGAAAAACAAACTTTAACATTTGTGGTTTCTCCTTGGAACCCTGAACCACCAAAACCTAAACCTTAACTGTGCACTGGATATCCCAGCAGTCTATGAGCCGGTCTTGACGGATGCGCGAGCATCCGTTAACACGCTCTTAGGAGTTGAATGGATAACCTTCTGGGGGTGTATATATATATATACCTGCCAGAATCTGAAGGTTCCAGGAAAGTCAGCAGCTAGTTTGGAATATATACCAAGACCCTACATCTACCGGCTAAACCCTGTAGCCCCCTATTTGAGAGTATAGAGAGGTGGGCCTAGGTACAGCCCTACTGCAACTGAAGGTTTAGCTTGTTTTGAGCCAGCATGTTGTTTTAGCAGCTACGTGGAGTATGCAGACCTTCAAAAATTACAGACCACAAGATTAGGTACAAACCACAGTTTGAATAGATACATGGGTTAGTCTAGCCCATATTCCTTTGTGTACCCTTACCTCCCTATATACGCCCCGCCCCATATAACTGAACACTGTGCATGGCGGACATCTTGCACCAGCCTATATCGCCACAAATACGTCAATTACCGTACCCAGGGGATACTAAGTGGCCCCAAGCCTAAACCCGAAAATCGCAGTTTGCTTTTTCTTTGCCCCATCCCTGTATTCAGCATTCCCCTGAGCTCCTCAACCCTAAGCCCGTCAGAACTCCATCCACGGCATCTCCCTTCGTAGGCACAGTGGTTCCTCTTCATATCCCTATATGTACCCATATGTCCCTCTGTACCCCCTGTATAACCGTAAGATCTCCCTGTATCCCTAAACCCCCACCCTAACCCCGAAACCTGAACCCTAAACCTGAAACCCTAAACCCTACACTCCTAAACCCCTAAACCCTAAATAGTAGTTTCCGTTTTCTTTTCCACCATATAGGCACGGTGGTTGCTCTAGATAAGTCTTTCTACATGTCAGGCTTGGTCCTGTTGGGGGTTTAGGGTTCAGGTTTTAGGGTTCAGGGTTTAGGCTTTAGCATTCAGGGTTTAAAGTTTGGGAGTCAGGGTTTACGGTTCAGGGTTTAAGCTTTAGGGTTTGGGGTTCAGGGTCTGCACAAGTTTTTCAAAATTGGGGTGGAGCTTTCAGGCCAAAAATTGACAAGCTGAGCAAAATTGTGTCCCAAGCACTTGTGATGTTTACTTGGTCTGTAGGACTACCCTAAAACCCAAGACCCTGAAACAAACCTAAGCCCTAAATCCTGGATCCTTCAACCCTACACCCCATAACCCTCGACTCCTGAACACCCTAAACGTTTTGCCACAGCCTTGTGCTTACGGATCCTTCCTTAAGGACTGCCTACCCTTAGGCCTTTGGGTCCCCCAATGTAACCTCTTAGCAAAGTTCACGCGGTTTAGGGTTGAGCCTTGCAAAGCAAAATCGGGTTGAGCCTTGCAAAGCAAAATCCAACACAGGAGTCCTACCTAAACCCTAAACCTCAAACCTCGAACAGTCGGTTGAAAAAAACATCCTCGAACGGGCCCGCGCTTTTGCTTTTGCAAAAAGCTCCTGGGCGAAGTTGGATACTGCAGCCATCTTAACATAACGACACCAACAACTTGAGCAAATGTAAGACTAATATTCATGATGAAACAGCCAAAATGGTTTTCATTCTGCATATTTTTGGGGTTCACATAAGGCTGTGAATCAGAGACACTTGGTTTGTAAAAGGCTTGTGCGCCATTCCGCGACATAGGCCTGTAACAGAATGGCCCGGCTTGCAATACAGTACCCTTTGGCAGCATTTTCTTGGGGCATATGTGTACCAGGCATTCGCGAGTACTTATGTAAGAGCAGGTTGCAACTAAACAAAAGGCTTCTTACAACTGTAGCATGTTTTTCCGTTGCCTACGAGTAGTTTATGGGTAGGAGCAGTCTCCAAGGGATGTACCATTTAGCCCCCCGCCCCGCGCGATGATTCGTTCATACCTTCCGTATATCGCTAGATTCCCTACGGTTGCCACCCCAACTCCATTAACGCTACACCTTCTCTTTTCCTAGACCCTCCTCCTACCCTTTATTAGGGCCTATAAGTACCTGCTATTAGGGACCATATATCCCCAATTAAGGGTACAAGGAGGGTCCTGGTTCTGAAGCCCCCAACCTGAACCCTTAACCCCACTAACCCATTCAACCTAGCCCTTCGTAAGACAGCCCTAAACCTTAAGCCCACAACCCGAATCCTCATATAGTCTATCCCCTTACTCGCGTAAGACAGCCTTAAACCTTAAGCCCTAAACCCTGATCCTTGTATAGTCTATCCCCTTACTCCCTAAGACAGGTACTGACCATCATCTCATACGACGCAATCTCTTGGGTTCCTGAGGCTGGAGCCTCGGAGTGCTTTTGTGTTTAGGGCTTCGGGCTTAGGGCTTCGGGCTTCGGGCTTAGGGTTTAGGGCTTGGAGTTTAGGGCTTAGAGTTTAGAGTTTAGGGCCTAGGGCTTGGGATTTAGGATCTGGGTTTTGGACTTAAGGTTCAGGATTCAGAGCTTAGAGTGTAGGCTGTAGGGCTTACGGTTTCGGGGGATTTCTTGTGGGCACTTCAGGAAGCTCTCCTCAAACACCCATAGTGCCCCAAACCCTAACCCCTATTATACGGTCTCAGGATTAGGTGCCACCCAGAAATCTGGCTAGACTCCCTAGGGTTTAGGCTTTAGGGCTAGACCTCTATCAACTTGCATCCTTCAGGCTTAGCTCCAACGCCCTGAAAGGGCTTACCGTTTAACCCTAAACCCTAATCCTTGAAACCTGAAAACCTTTTGGATCTCTACACTTGCAGGTTCAGGCGCCTTACGACCAGATGCATCTTGTCGCTTTCATGGCGATGCACAGGCAGGGCTCGTCATGATCGCGTGCGCGTAGATGGCTATCGGGATCCATAGGTAGGTTTAGGGTTTAGGATTCTGGGTTTAGGGTTCAGGATTCAGGTTACGGCTTCGTCAGCAGCTTATGGTTAGGGATATAGTTCCGAATAATGGAGAATCAATTTGAAAAGATAATGTAAAATTACATGGAAACTCGGATGCAATACAGTGGGGTTTTCGGGGGATGGCTGTTTGGAGAGTGTGGTGGAATGTAGCAGTTCATGGCGATACACACACACACACACAAAGCTTGTCTTCGCTATGTGTGCCGGGTGTCGGGAGTCAGTAGATGTGCTGTTTAGGGTTTAGGGTTGGGAGTGTCTAGACTAGATGTGGGGTTTATGCTGGGGATGTAAACCTAGCTAGATTGCAATAGCAACCATAAATGCCAGGCAGGGTATATAGCGGTAATATCCCCAGATTGTCGGCCGTTCTGGGCGTGGCGCTTGCAGGGTTCATGGCCCACACTAGGAGCCCATGGCTTGGTAGGGTCTACAAACGAAGGATCACGTTCTAGCTCGTCTTTTCTTCCCAACCTCTCCTCCCAGTAAGTAAAACCTTCCATCCGCACGTAGCGATTTTTTGAATGCTGCGATTGCATTATGTAGCGTCTGGAAAGTTTGGTGTTAGGGGGAGGGAATTCAATGGCCATCATGATTCAGAAGCACTCAGAACCCCGCATGAGAACAGAACCTCAAGGTCTGTAGTGATTAACGCCCTAAGCCCCACACCCCTTAACCCTAAACCCTTTGAATCAATGCCAATCCTAGTGAGAGCTCCCAGGACCGGCCAATAGTCCCGATAGGTCCCAAGTCCCAAGAGTTGTTCGGGGTGTCCCTTTTTGATGGCTTTCCCTAACCCTCACGCCCCCCCCCCACTCCTAGTTCTGATCAGCCCGACATGGGACAAGTTCAGGATGAACCTAGGAAGGGTACTGTGGGGGTGGTCACGGAACGTTCGAGGAGCTGATGAGGTTCTTTAAGGGCCTACACGGAATGTACAAACCTACATATAGCTAGGCTAGCATTGAGGTTCAACGGCTTACCGCTTGCGGCTAAAATCAGGCGCTCGTAAGTAGTCTTTTGCATTCTGTGACCCAAAGGCCACAACAAAACAAGTCAACAATTGCATAGAGCCTCTGGATGCGGCTTTTGGGTGTTTAATTAAGCCCTAAATCGTAAAACTCAAACTCTGAACCCTGAATCCTAAGCCCTAAACACTAAATGCCCCAAACCCTGAATCTGAGCCTAGTGCTACGAAGGCGGGGCTCAAGCGTGTTCTCGCTGATTATGCCTCCAGCCTGCAGGAAGCTTTGTTGTTCCAGGTTGGGGTCGAGGGTGTGGAGTTTAGGGTTGGGGTTAAGGGTTTGGGGTTGGCAGGTGGGGTTTAGAGTTCAGGGCTGCAGTCCCTAAACACCAACCCCTGAACCCTAAACCCAGAGTTTGGGGATCAGGGTCTAGGGAAACCCCGTGACTTAAATCTTAAGGTTTGGATCCTAAGCCCCGAGCCCCAGGGTTTAGGTTTTAGAGCTTGTAGATCTTGTAGCTCCGCCTAGGGCAGGCGCAGCAGGAACCAACATCTCCCGCGGCCTTACCCCACAATAGGGGTGTACCTGTGACCCCAATTGCCGACAGCTTGGAACTAATTTTCCCCCCAAATTAGTAGGCATAATTCCTGTAGGTAATCAGAGCTACAAGTATGTTAGGTCAGTCCCACCCTCAGTAGTAACCCTTAAAGATTGGAGTTTATAGGGCCTTCAAAAACCTACATTTGTCCCTTGTGGTATCCCTTACTTGATGGGGGATTGACCCAACCTTAGCCCCAAACCCTAAACCATCAAACCAAAGTCCTAAGCCCTAAACTTCTAAACCCTAAATCCGAAACCCTAACCCTTAAATGCTAAGCCCTAAATCCTAAACCTTAAATCCTAAACCCTAAACCGTAAATCTTAAACCCTAAATCCTAAACCCTAAAGCCTGTTTATAGAGGCCGGAAAGGCCAGCTCTTTCAAAGCCGCTTGGGACCTTGAGGGTAGCTGTCGCCACAAAGGTTTTCAGTTTAGGATTATAGTCCCCCTTAAGTAGGTAGAAGATGGGATACATGGGGATCCTAGTACAATATACCCAAAGCCATCTTCTATCTACTTAAGGGGGACTGTAAGGGTTTAGGGTTTAAGGATTTGGGAATTAGGGGTTTAGGATGTAGGGCTTAATGGCTCTTGAGTAAATGTTTAGGTTTTTCCAGGCAACTTCAGCGTGATAAGGGGTTAAGTTTCTGGCCTTGAGGATTTGCCGTAAGTATCCTAAGTACCAATGTTTGGTGACTAGCCCACACCATACTACTAATTCCTAGTACGGAAACCCTACTTGATACTATACTCTAAACCCGATCGATACCCAGGTTCCCGGTCTACATCCTTGCTGGGGCCCCAGTGTGCAGTCTGGGGTTTAGGGTTGTTTATTTGGACGGTCCCTTGACTCAGCAAGTCTACTTAGCAACTTGGGTTATAGGGCCTTGTTAGGAGTATGTGAGGATAGTAAGTAGACTTCCTGAGTCCAAAGATCATCCAAGTGGTGTTTAGGGTCACGCGTCCCCGAAGTCACTTACGTACTGCATTGAGAACCCTAGGCCTATTCCAGAATGTTATTCCCTCATCCGGCGTTCGCACATGCAGCCTCCAGCGCGTAAGCCCATAAATGGTGTCCCCTTGTTGGGGTAGGGAAATTCAAGTTCTAACCAGATAATGTCCTAGAGCCCCTTCTAGTCACTAGTATGGATGTTTTCCTGATCTGCCTACTAGATATGTTAGAGTCGAAGTCTAGGGCTAAGGGGCTGAAGAAGGGATGGTTGCAAGACATGGGGCTTCGGGTTTAGGGTTTAGGGTCTGGGCAGTATTTGTCATTTGTGGAAGGTTAGAGGTATGGGCCCCTAATATGGGACCTTCGGCCCTTTCGTCTAAGGCGATTACAGGAGGGGAGTTATCAGGTAGGGACCTTACATAAGCCCTTAGATGACTCCCCATGCCCCTATATAACCCCTATATGCCCCTTATATAGACTCCCTCCATTGGAAACTCCCCTCCTGTAATTGGTCCACGTTTAGAGGGAATCTGGGGGCCCTGAAGGGGTACATATGGGGTATGTCCTAGGTATGCAAGGATCTCAGGGTTAAGGGCCCATACTAGGACACGTTTTCTGCCAAAAGAAGGAAACCTACGAGGGTTTAGGGTTCCCTGCTGAGACACTGGCCATCGTTGATACAAACCAGCCATTGAAGCAACAAGCTCCTGGACTTTAAAGCCCTATAGCCATAAACCCTGAACCCTGTCCCCTACAAAGTTCTCATGAAATCACTGGCCCTAAACCCCAAACCGTAAACCCTAAACCCCAAACCCTAAACCTGCGCTGTCATACCTGGACTTCCCTCCGTGGAGGTTGCTACGCAGCACCAGTTTCGCTTTGCCCACACAAATGCAGCCAGACGGAAGTTTCAGTGGGGGGTTTAGGGTTTAGGGTCTAGGGTTTGGGGCCATAGACTCCGGGGTCATGGCTTGATGGTAGGGTGTTGTCATGGGTTTTGGGTTTTGGGCCTCAGGTAGGGTCTTGCTATGGGTTGTTGCTGGTGGCGAGCGTAATGTAGGGTTATAGGGATTGTGGTGAGTACATGTTGCCCATTTGAGGTCACCATCAATGAAGACCATAGGTCTAGTATATGTATATATATATATATACAGATTTGGATGTTAACTTTCAAAGTTTAGGGACTTGTGGGGTACGGTTTGAGAGGTTAGCTTAGGTGCAGTGCAGAGGTGCAGCCTTGAGTCTGATGTCCAAGACTGCGACTTATTGTCTTGTAATGACATCGGCAGCTTCAGTAAGATCATTTCCAAGATGTGCGTTCAGCTTATATGGCGCAAATTATGTATACTACACTTCCTCTTTAGAGCGGCTCGCGAAATCGGACCCTTGTTTGTGGAAGCCAGCGTATCACGCAGAGGTCTTCTGGATTGTGCCGCTCGTTTTGGCTACAGCCTCAGCTGAGTTTCGGGTTGAGGGGGAGTCTGTCTGTGCGTACTCACGTTTTGCCCAAAACCCTAAACCGGGAAACATCAAGTCCGGCCGTAGTAGAACCCTAATTTTCATGTTATAACTAGGGGTTATATAGGGGCAAATACTGGAGAGTCCAGGGCTACGTTCAAGCGAGCTCCAACTTCAGAAGCTATGCATTTGAGGCAGCGCTGGTTGTGCCAACATTCAAAATCTGCTGAACCCTACCAAGAAAAACCAATATGCTCATGGACATCTTGGTATCTCCATGTCGCTTTTTTTGGAGGGGGAGGGGCCGGCGGCTAGGTTACTCTATGTCAAGCCTGTGTCATTCAGCCGCTGGGTGTGTGTCAGGTGCTCGCAAGACAACAGCATCTGAGAAGCGAGCCTGTGCTACGTTGCATTCAAGAACTTGACAATGTTTTTTTTTTACACATTGCACAGAGATTAGAAACAGTGTCCATTGAGGACTGGACCGTGATGGGTTCTGAATTTTGAGGCCTCATGTTGATAATAAAGCCCGCTTACAGCATCGCCAAGCTCCAACCCCGGGGCATCCAACCAAAGACCTAGCTTACGAATGAATCCTCACCACCCCTGAGTCCGCGCCTTGGAAAAGAACATGGAGACTATGTCTAATGGAGAATGAATGGTAACATATTGGATCAAGGAATGGCACCTTTCCTAAACCTAAGAACTTGATTCGTAAACCCTAAGCCATGCTGGATTTCCTCTTGGCTGGTCATCGGCAGCCTAGGACATCAAATTCCAGTGGAGTACCTAGACTCCTATACCTCACCCCCTTTTTTCGTACACCAAATTCCAGGTCCAGTATATTCTATATAAACAAATAGGTACCGTAAACATGGTGGGGTATAGAAGTCGAGATCCCTAAGCCTAAGCCCTAGATCCTGAACCCTAAGCAGTGTGAGTATATGTCATGTCTGTGCGTGTCCACCTGACGTCAAAATCGGAGCCGCGGAAATCCTGGCTGGAAGAAAGGGGGCCTATTTGGAAGTTCATAGTTTAGGGTTGGGGGATGCCTGCAGATTAATCTCCCTCTTAACTACCCCCCCAATCCCGCGACATCAAGATTCCAAATAAGAGACCTTATATATCAATTACCGGTATCTGCTGCTTCCGCAGTACCCTCACTTCTAGTCCACTATAACTGGCCTTACGTAGCTTACTAGTTGTGACTGGGTTCTGATCCAGGTGGAAGAAATTATACCCTAATCCCTAAACCTTTGGTACTGCCCCCCTCAGCAACAGTTGGATAATACTTAGAATATGCTTATATATAGCCCTTATCATAGGACCCCTAATATATACTGTTACTGG